TTTATACACACACATACACACATATCTTGAACCAATTAAAAATGGTTTCTGCTGTTAAAAATTAATATTACTATTTGTGTTTCCCCAGTATAATAATCGCTAAGAAATATTCATAAAATCAATCTTTTATTTAAATCTCAAAAATAAAAATATATTTTGACAATTCATTAATGTAGCACCTGCATTCATTTGGAAGTGGTGTGGTATAAAGTCGACACTGAGTTCTGAATGTGGTAAAAAGGTGTTTTACTTTTCCTCTGTCGTGAATCTCCTTTAGAAACATCCCCTCATGGTTCTGAGTAAAAGCCAAAGGTCCAGTTTCATGAGGTAATGTGAATCATTCTTAAAGATTTTTATTTTTTAATGGCAACATTGTTTGTTTCTTTTTCTTCCTTGAGCTTCTGTCAGTATTTTACTATTATGAGGAAAAACAAGCCGTCTGGAAGCATTCTAATGACTTAAGAAATTTATAGTTTTATAATTTCTTTGAAAATTTATTCCTGAATTGAAGTTTTACTGTTTAGCTCAATAGGTTTTATCTGGTGGAAAGTGTAATAGTATCTTGGAAGCATTCGGTCAATGAGGCTAGAAATTTATGTGTTATTCTTGACTCTTCTACCTCCTTCATCAAGGTGTATCCATTCTTTTTCAGAAAATCTGAATTCATCTGTTTCCTTCCTTTCTCCGTCTGTTGCCAGCACTTTACTTCAGGCTCTGAGTTTCTCTTGTCTGGGTATAACACTGACTGCAATATTCTTTCTCTTTCTAGTCATTTCTCCACATTGTTTGCTTTCTCCAGTGTAAACCTGATTATGTTCTTGGCTCATATCTTCTCATGGTTTTTCATTTTCCTGGAGGGTGCGGGATACAAGGCTTCTTTCTCATGACCTACCTTTCTTGTGTTGTTTCTAACAATCCCTGCCCCCGCCACACCACCACAGGTACATCTATCCATAACTAGTTCGAATATGTATTAAATAGCTGTGATGTTTTTCATCAGTTTCTCTAACCAAGACATAGTAAGCCCTTCTGATCATAGATGAGTAGAGGAGAAATCTTATTCCTCATTCTGATGCTTAACATCTTCATTTCTAGCCTACTCCCCCTTTTCTACCCCCGCCCCATGGGTTCCATGCTTGCCAGTACTGGGCTAGTGGCCTTCTTCCTTTCTATTAACAATATTTTTAGAAGTTTGGTGTCTGCACAGTTTACTTATATTCTCTCTATAGGTGTTTGTATCTCATAGAGTCTTTGCATTAATCATTGCTACCATTCTCTTGCTTTTTTACTTTTTTCCTTGGAATTTAGCCCGTTTGTATATTTTATCAAAGTGTTGAGGAACAAGCGTTTTTTATTGTCATTCAGGTAAATGTGTGTGTCCTCTTTATATGTCTTCTCTTTATACTTAGTATACTATGTTAATCTGGGCTGAGAACAACATTCTTATGGCATAGTAATCATTTGGCTCCATTTACTGAATAACTATAATCATGTTTATATATCATTTAATCATTTATAGAGGACTTTCATAGTTGTTAATTTATTTGATCTGAACAATCCTGTTAGATCATTGAAATATCACCACCTTCAATTTATAGAGTAAGAAGCAGAGGCTTATAGGAGTCAATGTCATGGCCTAGTGCCTCTCAGCTGGGTGATGGCTCTTCTACTGGATGGTGCTGTCTTCCTTACCATCCTATTGTTTCTGTACTTACTGGTCAAGCCTGCATTTGCTCTGGGAACTGGAATATGCATTACTGATTTTAATTAGCACTTTGAACAAATTATTTCATTTGATTCCCCGGCATTACTGTTAATTAGACAGGCGTGACATTATTAGTGCCATTTTACAAATGAGAATGGTGCACATCAGGAAGGTTAAGTGACTTGCCCCAGTTTGCAGAACTAGTGATTTGAAAAATAAAAAATGAGAAGAGGTCTTCAGACTCCAACCTACTATTTTGTTTGCTCCACGCTACCTCTTCGCTCTACTGTAAGACATACTGGAAAGTGAAATATGTTTTTATTCTTGGGGTTCCACTGAAACAACTCTCTGGTTATGCTCTGTATCAAAGTGTAAAACGTTAAAGTTAAATGGCAGCTGTTGATTCAACTTTACATGAGTTTTTTTTTTTTTTTTTTGAGACAGAGTCTCTCTCTTTGTTGCCCAAGCTAGAGTGAGTGCCATGGCGTCAGCCTAGCTCACAGCAACCTCAAACTCCTGGGCTCAAGCGATCCTCCTGCCTCAGCCTCCCGAGTAGCTGGGACTACAGACATGCGCCACCATGCCTGCCTAATTTTTTCTATATATATTGGTTAGGCAATGAATTTCTATCTATTTATAGTAGAGACGGGGTCTTGCTCTTGCTCAGGCTGGTTTTGAGCTAGCTCCTGAGCTCAAGCATTCCGCCCGTCTCGGCCTCCCAGAGTGCTAGGATTACAGATATGAGCCACCGTGCCCGGCCTTTACGTGAGTTTGTATGCTATGGTTCTACGATTAATGCAATGTGTAGAATCCAGTGATACATTATTAGAAATTTGTTGTTCAAGGGAAAAATAATACGGAGGCAAAAAGATGTGTTTCAGAACTTGGAATTGTATGGAAAAATAATTATTTTTTTTCTTCAGCCCCCATAGGTTCTTAGTTGGAATGAACCCCAGCAACAAAAGATGGATTAATAAGAGAGTAACAAACAGAAAGTTATTAACATGTTGTATCAGTTCGTTTTCTGTTACTTATAACTGAATGCCTGAAACTGGGTTATTTATAAAGAACAGGAACTTATGTCTTACAGTTATGGAGGCTGGAAATTGCAAGGTTGAGGGGGCATATCTTTTGAGAGCCTTCTTGCTGGTGGGGATTCTGTGAAGAGTCCTAAGGCAGTGCAGGGGATCCTATCGTGGGGGGCTGAGCATGCTGACATGCCAGCTCAGCTCTCTCTTCCTCATCATGTGAAGCCACCAGCTCTCCTCCTATGGTAACTCATTAATTCATTAGTCCTTTAATCCATTAATCCATGAATAGATTAATCTGCTCAAGAGGGCAGAGAGAGCCCTCATGATCCAATCATCCTTTAAAGGCCCCACTTCTCAATACTACCACTTTGGGGATTAAGTTTCAACTTAATGAATTTTGGAGGGGACAGATATTCAAACCATACATAGCACATGTATATTTCACACAATCATGGAAGATACCAGGGAATGAGTAGTTCTCAAAGTGATAGCTTTGAATTCCAGTTTATAGAGTGTCTTCAACTGAGAACAGTACATTTTTAGAGAAGTGACAAGACAAAGGAAAAGGACTTTGAGTCTCTGGGGGCAGCAACTTGTTGGAAGGCAAATAAATGGCAGATAAAGGCTAGTTATCAAAGCTTGTTCATGTTCCTCTGGCTTCATCTCCAGACAATAAGGGCCTGAAGTTGTCTTCACTGATTAACCTTTGTTCTCCCTTTTGTCTTTGCAAATCTATGTCTTTTAGGCAACTAGGAGGAGAGCAGAGCTTCCCTGAATCTGCTTCTTCTTAAACTACCTTCAATTCAACACTCCTTTGTATCTTGGAGTGGCATCTTCTGGTCTCCCTCAATATCATTCTGCCCATCCTGCTTTCAGAGTAATTCTCAGGCCCTAGCCCCTGCAAAGACTTGGAGAGGAGAAATGTGTATTTACTTCTTGCAGTCTCCTAGCTAGTAGCTTTAGCATCCCAAGATAGTACTGTAGTTTTGCCTAGTAATCTATACCCATTGCTGATTATGGAAACATCATCTTCTCTACAGCATCTTGAGTGCATATGTGGTTCAGCAGGAAGAACCTGTACTGAGCAGGTAGAAAGCAGGAAGCCTGGAATTCTTTATGATTGAAATGACACTTCACTCCAAGATTTCCCTTTAATTGTGCCATCTGTATAAATCTTGGTTTGATTGTGGTTGTCTGTGCAATCTAGCATAGGTCGTTTTTTTTTTGTTTGTTTTGCTTTGTCACACCTGAATCTGTGTTCATGGAGTTGGCCATGGGTAATGTGTTGTATCAAGGAGATGAAAAATTACAAAGGTGGATGGCTGTAGGTAGTATATACCAAGTTATGTTTTCTAATTATTTGTAAATACTACTACAGGAAAATTTATCATAGGGAAGATGATGGCATGGTATAGTGAAAAAACAGGAATTAGGAGTCAAGAGGTTTGAGTTCCCACTGCATTGCTGGCTTGCTTTCTGATCCTAAAAAGTTTCTTCCTTCTCTGAGCCTCCATTTTTTCATTTGTCAAATATAAAATAAAAATGCTCTCTCAGGGTGGTTATGAGAATCTGATTGGAGGCTATAGATGATGACTTTTTGCACACTGTAAAGTGCTATTCAGATATTTCTTATTTTAGTAAACAGTGATTATTTTATGTCAGGCTCTTTAACAAAAATGATTTCAATTCAGACCTCCTATCAACACTGCAAAGCAGGCATTTTATCTCCGTATGACAGATAAGGAACCTGGGATACAGAGTCCAAGTAACTTGCTCAGGGACCACCCACTACTGTTAAGTGCTAGTTCCTGATTTAAGTTCCTTTTTTTTTTTTTTTGCTATGTTGCCATGCTGTTAATAAAAGGATTAAATAGTAGAGGTTTGAACTTTAACAACAATTTCGATTATGCTTTTACAAAATGGAGGTGCCCTAGACTGGGAATCAGGAGATCCAGACTGTCACTATGTTTTTGTATTATTTTGGAGTAAGTTACTTCAATGTATTTAATCAAATAGTAAATGCATTTAAAATACTTGGTTATGTTTCTGCTAAGGTTTATATATAAAATGTTTTCTCTTTTTTTTTAATTAAAAATTTTTATCAATTCTTTTATTTATTTTTTTATTTTAGTGCTTCCTCTTCTTGGTATAAAATGTTTTCTTATTCTGACTTTAATCATTACCAGAATAAAAAATTTCCTTTGAAGTGATCAAAAGTATTTTACAAATCCCATTTTAATATTTTATTCTTTTTTTCTTTTTAGTAATTCCTACACTGGCCAAGATTACAGCACACAGGGAAATGTTGGAAAGATTTCTTTAGATCAGATTGATTCGGTAAGCATCGCATCCTTTTAAACTTAGAACTTTGTCAATGGAGGAAACACAAATTTTCTTCAACCAAAGATTTTTGGGTGAGGAGATGGGAGAGAATGTTATTTCATCGCTGATAACTTTTAAAGAAAATCCCATGTCCTATACATATGATTTTTTAAAATCATAGGAAAACCAAACTTAATCAGGAAATTATCTGTGCTTTGATAAAAACAGAATTTAATCAATTATTCCAAAAGGGAATTCTTTTAAGTTATGATAGCTAAATGGAGTTTATGTGTTTATATTTAAATACCATGTACATTTAATAAAGGAGAAATGGAAAATACTAAGGGTATTAGTTTATAGGACCGTCATAACAAAATACCGCAGACTGGTGGCTTAAACAACAGAATTTTATTTTCTCACAGTCTGGAAGCTAGAAATCCAAGATCAGCATGACAGCAGGTTTGATTTCTTCTGGGGCCATTTTTCTTGTCTTACAGATGGCTGCTGCCTTGTTCTGTCCTCATATGGTTTTTCCACCACTTGCATACATCCCTGTTGTCTCTTCCTCTTCTTATAAGGTCACTGGTCACATTGCAGTAGGGCCTCACCCCAGTGCCCTCATTTAACCTTAATTCCCTTTTTAAAGGCCCTATCTCCATATTGAGGTACTGGGGTTTAGGACTTAAACATATAAATTTGGAGGAGATACCATGTGTCTCATAATACGAAGTATAGGCTACCATCTTTGGGTTGCCACTAGATTAATAAACACAGCTTATTTCAGCTTAATTTTACTTTGTGATTCCATAGCAGAGTGGAAGAGTAGTGTACTGTGCAATACTTTAATTTATAGAATTTCTACCCCCCGCATGATGTGTGTTTATAAGAATAATTGGAGGTTAATGCTGTTCCTAGTTCTAGCTAGATATTTTCCCATTCACAAGCTGGTGTGAACTTGGTTGGATACCGTGGGAGTACATAGAAGTGTAATGATTAATTCATTTAGTGAATATATATTGAGCCTATCAATTATGTACCAGCCACTGTGCTTTGGGTACAGAGGTAAGGAAAACAAAAAATGCCCCTGCCTTCATGGATCTTACTTAGGGGAGAGAGACAATATAGTAAATAATAAATGAGCTAAATAATGCTGAATTACAGTAAGTGTTGTGATCATGATCCTATTGGGGGTCTGTGCCTGAGACCCTCTGCTAAGTAATACAGATGTATTTTTATTTGGACTGTTTCCTAATTCTGTATCTGTATTGCTTGATCTTAACAACATAACATTTGCATATCCCTTGATATTTGCGTCTCTTCTCCAAATGTTTTGTTTAGATTTTTCTTCTAACTGAAATCTGGCTCCCTCAACAGTGTTTTCCCTGTGGTCCTCTCCAAGTAGAGGCTGCCTCCCCCTCCCACATTCTATGTAGGTATAGGGTAACTGTCTTGCTTGGTCCAAATTACAACTTCCGAACCATTTCTCTGCCTTCTATTAAAGCACCAGCTCCTTTAAAACCCTTGTGATCATGTTATGCCACCTGATACCTTCTTTCTTGCTGCTACCTCCCACACCCTTATTTATTGATGATTTTAGCACCCACCTAATGGTCTTTTGCACTAACAGTACTCCTGTCATTGTTCTTGGCCTCTGTAAGATCCATGTTGATAATTCACCCTGTCTCCTGGGCTTATAATTCTTTTGTTTGCTTTAATTTCCACCATCACTCTTCTATCTCATTATGGCCAACCCTGTACCCTATCTTTTTTATTTCTATTATTTGGACTACTGCCAAAGCCTCAGGAGTGTTCTTCTTGCTTCCATTCTTGCTTTCATAATAGTCTTTTCACTACATAACAGCCAAAGTTCTTTTTGTTTATCAGATCATATTGGTCTTTTGATCAAAACCTCTAGTGGGTTTCCATCATATTTAGACAAAAATCCAAACTCATTTTATGGCCTATAAAGCCATATGTGCTCATCATTTCAATTTTGTCTTCTGCTCCATTCTGGCTCACTCACTGTGCTCTAGCCACATGGACCTTATGCTGTCTCTTAGCATACCGTCCATTCCTTCTCAGGGTCTCTGTTTTCATTTTCTTTATATGACCAGTATTCCTGGATCTTCATTTGAGTTAAGATGTAGGTCTTAGCTGAAATATGCCATCTTCTCAGAGTAGCTTCACTGGCCACCCAAATTCAAGTACTTCTTTTCTAGTCATACTTGATTCCATTCCTCTATTTTTTTCCCCAGTGCTTTGGTATCAGATGTTATCTTTTTTATGTCTGTGTTCATTGTCCATCTCCTCCCATTAGAATGTAAGCTCTTTGAGGACAGGGTTTTTAATTCCTTTGTTCACTGCTGGTTCACCAGGACTATACACATAGTAAATGTTCAATAAATATTTTGTGATTGAATGAGTAGAAGGTAACCCAGGGATGTGCCAGAGAGAGTTGAAGTTGAATTAGGTCTTGAAGAATGGCTCAGCTTTGGCTAGATAGCATGGGAGTGAGAAGGGTGCAGCAGGCAGGGCCAGCAAAATGAGAAAAATGAGAAGGTACAAAACATGACTATGTGTTCATGGAATAGTGAATAACCCAGCTGACTGGAGTGGAGGAGTCATGTTTTTACAGTAACAAAGTGGGCTTTCCCCCACTCCCTGTCACAGTACTTCCATCACACCTGATTTATGCCCTTGTTGGAGCCCTCATGATATCATTTATTGAGTCAGTTTAACTTACATAATAGTGAGTATAATAATTGCTTGTCTTTTTCCTTTATTTAACTATATTAAAGGGAAAAATTTTGTCTTATCACCAAAAGACCTTATAAATATTCTGTTATATATAATTGAAAAGTAGTTAGTAGATATAGAGAGAACCTTGCATGATCACAGTAAGGGTTTGATCATGCATTGATTTGTTTGGATTAGAATCATGTTTAAGAAAACATAATCGGGTAGCAGTATGAAGGAACAAAAATGGTCAGATGAAGATGAGCTGGAAGGTTTTCCAATAATCTTGCCAAGGGAGGATGTAGATCTGAATAAACTAGGTAGGGATGGAAAAATTTAGAACAGAAACTGGATGGTCACTAGAGGGAGCAGTAAAGTCGAGGAAAGTAAGAAATGTTTTTTCTTATAGACAGAGTGAATTTGCCAAGGAATATGTGAGATAGTGAGAATTTAAATCTTAGGAGGAGGAGATTTAAGGAAGTCCTGAGAGAATACATTTGAAACCATAAGTAAAAAAGTTGAATTAAAAGTGGGCAATGATATTTCATTTTTGACACTAAGGGAAAGACGTGCATTGCTTTTCCTTGTAACTATTGATTTCTCTAACATATTTATTTGAATTTTCCTTTTGAGAACAATTTCTCCTATTTTTGTGTTCTCCTTTGTATTTGAGACACCTTAAAAGTTCATCTGCTACTAATCAATTGTACTTCTGGACATTTATCTCAGGGAAATAAAATCTTATGTTCCCATAAAAACCTCTTCTAGAATGTTCGTAACAACTTTATTTGAAATAGCCCCAAACTGTAAACAGCCCAAGTTCTTCAGTGAGTGAATGGTTAAACAATTTGTGGTATAACAAAAGCAATGAACTTAGATACAATAATTTAGATGAAGCTTAAGGAAATCATGCTGAGTAAAAAAAGCTAGTCACAAAGCATTACATACTATATGATTCTATTATATAATACTCTTGAAATGGCGAAATTATACAGATGAAAACCAGATTAGTGGTTGCCAATGGTTAGGGAAATGAGGGAGGTGGGGGCAGAAGGTAGGTGTGAGGGTGGTTATAAAAGGGAAAACATGAGGAATCCTTGTGGTGATAGAACTGTTCTGCATCTTGACTGTGGTGGTGAATGAATGAACTTATACATATGATAAAATTGCATAAAATTAAACACACAAGAGATAAGTGTGTGAGTACAAACCAAGGAAATTCAAATAAGACCAGTGGATTGTATCAATGTCAATATCCTGTTTGTGATAATGTACTATAGTTTTGCAAGATTTTATCTTTGAGGGGAATTGGGTATATGATATCTCTTTGTATTATTTTTTATAACTGCATGTGAATCTACAGTTATCCCCAGAGTAAAGGTTTAATTAAAATTTTTTAAAAAAGAAACAGGTGAAGTAAATTTAAATATCTTATTTAGCCCAAAGTATTCAAAATACTATCATGTTAACATGTAACCAATATAAAAATATTAATAAGAAAGAGCTCACACTGTAATCACAGTAGTGTAGTATTACTTTATCACGGTTTTTATTCTAATTAGACTGAATTTGCAACCACAACAGATATTATGGAGGACCTAGTGAGTGTTCCACATAACTAAAAGCTGTTTTTTCTTGTAGCTTTCTACCAAATCCTTCCCACCTTGCATGCGTCAGTTACATAAAGCCTTGCGGGAAAATCACCATCTTCGTCATGGAGGCCGAATGCAGTATGGCCTCTTCCTGAAAGGCATTGGTTTAACACTGGAGCAGGCACTGCAGTTCTGGAAGCAAGAATTTATCAGAGGAAAGATGGATCCAGACAAGGTAATTTTGAAACATCAGAGGGATAACTTAAATTTTAATTTGGTCTGAAAACCAAAGGTCCTGTTTTTTTGAATATGCTCTCTGAAATGTAGTTGAAAATTCTAAAAGATAAATGTGTGTACAATTTAGGTAAAAAGAAACTCATGCATTAATCTCATATGTACTAAGGAGTCTTCGTCTTTGTAGGTATACTGCCCGTAGTAATTATAAGACTGAAATGCTTTCAGAGTTACATTTCTATACAAATGTATATATGTATTTGTATATGCACATGTATATACATATACACGTAATGATAGTTTTTTTTTTTTTTTTTTTTGAGACAGAATCTTGCTTTGTTGCCCAGGATAGAGTGAGTGCTGTGGCGTCAGCCTAGCTCACAGCGACCTCAAACTCCTGGGCTCAAGCAATCCTGCTGCCTCAGCCTCCCGAGTAGCTGGGACTACAGGCATGTGCCACCATGCCTGGCTAATTTTTTTCTATATATAATAGTTGGCCAATTAATTTCTTTCTATTTATAGTGGAGACGGATCTTGCTCTTGCTCAGGCTGGTTTCAAACTCCTGACCTTGAACAATCCACCCGCCTTGGCCTCCCAGAGTGCTAGGATTACAGGTGTGAGCCACCGCGCCCCTGGCCCATAATGTTTTAAGGACTAGGAGATATTGTGAACAAATAAAGTGAAAAGAATTTAAAATATTTTCTATTATGCAGAATCTTTCATAGGACATTTTTAGATAGATAATAATCACATTAACCGGAGCAACTGCTTTAAAACCTATCCTTAGTACTCAGATTCCCAATCCTACTCCTTATTTTTTTTTAAAATACTGTTAGCTAAAAACATTTTATTTGAAAATATAGTGTCTTGCCCCTTCTATGCCATGGCACTGTGGTATAAAGTAAATTTGTTACTGTTTATTTCTTGGTTTATTTTTTCTTTTTTTTTAAAAAAAGGTAAATTAGAACAAATAATATTTACCAAATACATTTTATAACATTTTATTTTATGGCTTATATTATTTTGCTAGGGTTGCCATAACAAAATACCACAGACTGGTTGGCTTAAACAACAGAAGTTTATTTCCTCACACTTCTGGAGGCTAGAAGTCCAAGATCAAGGTGTTGGCAGATTTTGTTTCTCCTGAGGCCTGTCTCCTTGGCTTGCAGAGGGCCTTCTTGCTCTCTCCTCACATGGCCTTTTTCTCAGTGTGTGCTTCCCTGTTGTCTTTTCCTTTTCATATAAATACACTAAGCATATTAGATTAGAGCCCCCACCCATTTCATCTTATTTAACCTTAATTATCCCTTTAAAGGCCCTGTCTCTAAATACCATTAGGGCTTCCACATTCAAATTTTAAGAGAAATTCTGTCCATAACACATCTCTATCTTTATATTAAAAAGCTAGATATTTTTATAACATATTATAAAAAGCTCTTTTGGTTTTTACTAAAAAGCTAGATATTTTTAGAACATATTATAAAAAGCTCTTACAGTTTTTACAGATTTGTTTTATGGACGGTCTTTACTGATAATTATCCATCCCATCTTGAATAAGTCATTTAATAGGATTTTCTTTGAATGTTGGCTGTTGTTTAGACCTCTATTATATTTCTTTTATTTTAAATATAATATACTCTGATTATAGAAAATATGAAAAATACAGAAAAATGTACCTGTTATCCTCTAATTCAGAAATTGTTACTGTCAACATTGTTTTCTCTCTAGTCTACATAACTAGATACCATTATGTTTTCTCCCATTTAAAAAACTGACATTGTATTTTGATGATTTTTCAATGTTTTTGACAAATCTTTGAAAATATATTAATTAGTTACATAATATTATATCCTTTGAAAGTGATATAATTCATTTAATCAATCCCTTATTTTGGTTGTGTCTAATTTAACTCTGTTATAAATGTTATTACAACTAATATCCTGAGGACATAAATCATTGATTATAGTTCTGATTATGTCCACCATGTATATATACATATATATGTATACATATATACATATATGTGTGTGTGTGTGTGTGTATATATATGTATATTTCACCAGGAATAAAATTACCTGATAAGAAACTATACATGGTTTTAAAGTTTTGAGACATACTATGAAATGACCGTTCAGAAAGGTTTTAAATTAGACTCTCCTCAGGCTATGTAATAATTTTGCTCTGCCATTGACATCATTGTGTATTATTGCTTTAAAATGTCTTTTGATCTTTTTATTAGGAATTCTGTGTATTAAGTAGCTAGGTGTATTAGGGTTCTCCAGAGAAACAGTACCATATGTGTGTGTGTGTATGCCTGTCTCTATCACACACAGAGAGGGAGTGAGCAAAAGAGAGAATGATTGATTTATTATAAAAACTTGGCACACATGATTATGGAGGTTGACCAGTCCTAAGGCAACTTGGAGACCAATTGGCAAGTTGGAGATCCAGGAGAACCAATGGTGCAGTTCTAGTGTGAGTGCAAAGGCCTGAAAACCAGGAGATTAATGGTGTACAGTTGACCCTTGAACATGGTTTGAACTGCGTGGGTGGGTCCACTTAAATGTGGATTTTTTCCAATAGGTATATTGAAACATTTTTTTGGAGATTTGTAACAATTTGAAAAAATTCATAGATGAACGATATAGCCTAGATATATTGAAAAAATTAAGGAAAAAGTATGTCATAAATGCATAAAGTATATATAGCTACTCATCTATCATTTAATGCCAGAAGGCATACACAAATCGATTATACAAAGTTAAAATTTATCAAAACTTACACAAACACTTAAGAACCATACATGGTGCCATTTGCAGTTGAGAAAATCTAAATAAATGTAAAGATGCAGTATTAAATCATAACTGCATAAAATTATAACATATCATACTACTGTAATAATTTTTTTTTTTTCTCCTGAGACAGAGTCTCACTTTGTTGCCCAGGCTAGAGTGAGTGCTGTGGCGTCAGCCTAGCTCACAGCAACCTCAAACTCCTGGGCTCAAGCAATCCTCCTGCCTCAGCCTCCCGAGTAGCTGGGACTACAGGCATGTGCCACCATGCCTGGCTAATTTTTTCTATATATATTAGTTGGCCAATTAATTTCTTTCTATTTATAGTAGAGACAGGGTCTCGCTCTTGTTCAGGTTGGTTTCGAACTCCTGAGCTCAAACGATCTGCCTGCCTCGGCCTCCCAGAGAGCTAGGATTACCACTACTGTAATAATTTTAAAGCTACCTCCTGTTGCTATTGTGGTGAGCTCAAGTATTGTGAGTATCAACTTAAAATGTGGTGTGATACTAATCATCTCAGCATGAGCAGTTTGTCCTTTCAGTAAATTGCGTATTATATCACAGTAAAAAGTGATCTCTCTTGGTTCTCATGTATTTTGCATCATGTTTAATGCAATATCATGCACCTTGAATAACACCATGGGACCCATGTAAAGTACCTCTAGTGATGCTGGAAGTATACCCAAGAAGCAGAGAAAAGTCATGACATTACAAGAAAAAGTTGAATTGCTTGATACGTACTGTCATTAAGGTCTGCAGCTGTGGTTGCCAACCATTTTAGACTGACAATTCATCTTGCAAACAGATGATGTAAACTTACAGTATCAGTAAATAGAGTGCAGTACTGTATATGTGTTTTCTCTTCCTTCTAATTTTCTTAATATTTTCTTTTCTCTAGCTTACTTTATTGTAAGAATACATTACATTTTAAATGTAATATACAAAATATGTGTTTAATCTGTTTATGTTATAGGTAGGGCTTCTGGTCAACAGTAGGCTATTAGTAGCTACAGTTTTGGGGAATCAAAAGTTATATATAGATTTTCAACTGCTGGGGGACATGATTGGCACCACTAACCTTCACGTTGTTCAAGGGGTCAACTGTTCTAGTTCAAATGCTGCAGAAACAGTCAGCATTTCAGTTTGAGTAAGGCAGGGAAAAAAGATGTCCCAGATTAAGGAAGTCAAGCAGAAGGAAATTCCCTCCTGTTCACTGGAGGGTGAGCCTTTTTGTTCTATTCCAGCCTTGAACTGATTGGATGAGAATTACACACAGTAGGGAGGGCAGTCTGCTTTAGTATGACTACCAATTGAAATGTTAATCTCATGGAGAAACACTTTCACAGACACATCCAAAACAATGTTTGACCAAATGTCTGGGCACCTTTTACCCCAATCAAGTTGACATAAAATTAATGATCACAGTAGGTAAATACTTGTGAGTTGGGTTGTTTTGAAGTGGAAAGAGAAGTTGAGCTGCCATTTTAGTTTGGTTTGTGTGTAAACTAAGAGAGGAAAGAGAAGAGAGAAAGGGAAACCAGCCATGCCAGCCAGTGTGGCCACTTGCTCTGAGTACTAGGTCTTTGGTTTGGACACCTGTTCACCACCCTGACTTTTATGTATATCTGGGATGGCCTATGTAGCAATGTCATCAGTATTTAGGTTTATTTTCCTTAACCTGTGTTTTAAAGTTTTTTATGGGAGTTTTATTTTATTAATATAATGTAAAAGTAGTTTTTTCCAAAACTTATTATAAAAGAAAATCAATTTTTAGCTTTCTAGATAATATATCGCAGCCTATATTTTTATTGGCTTATTGATCACAGCAGGTGTATTATTTTGACTAAAAGATTATAAGATACACTTATGACTTACTATGACTGGTGTTCTGTTATACTGTATATGTAAATAAATATTCATATTTTTCTCAATTATATCTTCTCATATATTTTTGCAATGATATTAAAGTATATTCTCTTCAATTTAGTAATTGAACATATTTTTTAAGTGATATATACAATTAAAAACTTTCTTAGGTGGTATAAAAAATTGTTGAGTTAAAGTACTATTTATAGAATATAGAATGATTGTGGAGGATGGTAGACATTTTTTATGGCACTCTAATTAAAGGACCTAGATTTTGAACCTGGCTTAAAAGATTTGGAATAATAACTTCTGTTGGATAGCTTATTCCTGACAGTGTAAGAA